GGTTAGAGTGGGGGGGGTTAGAGTAGGGCGTTAAAGTGGATGGGGGGGTTAGAGGAGGGGGCTCAGGGGAGTTAAAGTTGGAGAGGGGATGGGAGTTTATAAATACGTCTAAAAGAGGCAGTTTTCTGCCTCCCCTCCTAGTGCAGTGGTTAGAGCACTTGGCTTGCAAGCAGAGAGTCCTGGGTTCGAATCCCGGAGGAACCACATTTTCCCAATTAAGTCTAACTTAATTATTATTTATAATTCCCAATTAAGTCTAACTTAATTATTATTTATGTTACACAAAAAATAAGTCATTTCTGTTCAATTTAAATTTAAATTAAGTATTTTCTACCTAACACAGGCTGCCACAGGGGGCAGATACATGTGGTTCCTCCGGGAATCTAACCCCGCACCCTCTGCTTGCTAATCTAATTAAAACAAGTATAACAAATGTTAGTCTGTACCTTCTGTTCTGATGTCTTCAGTGCGCAGGCCTTCAGAGGCTCCTTGTCCACCGGCTGACGGAGACGAGTGACGGTCCGGTTCTCACACCCCTCCAGCTTCAGACGCAGGTCCTTGATCTGGGTCAGGTAGGTCTTACACACAGACTCGTCCTGTTCTCCTGGTCAGTGGTGGAACAAAACACAACAGGGTTGAAGTGACACAGAAGCAAAGGTTCAGTTTGTTACTAGCATGTGAGCTAACAACACTTAGCTTGATTAGCATAGAGGTTAAATCAGACTTTCTGTTTAAGAGCTGCAGTGACAGTTATCTTTGAAGTGTGTTGGTTTGAGTCACATGACGTCTCCACACTCAACAAACACACTTCAAAGAAGACTCTGCACCAAACCCTGGATTATTTAACCCTGTTGTGATCAAAGTGATTACTGTGAGGTTATTTCTACAACTGTTTCTAACACATGCTGTGTTGATGATGTCATCAGCAGCTCTACTGGTCACTGACACACATGCACGACAGACTGCAATCACGAGTGGAGTTAGAAGAAATCAGTGAAGATGATGGACTTGATTCAGGGTGATTAAAGGTACACACACACACACACACACGTTGATCCAGAGTGATTAAAGGTACACACACACACATGTGAAAATGCAGCCAATCAAAAGCCAAAAGTGTTAGGGACATTCTGTGCCTGGCTCAGAAGCGTCTTACCTGTCCTGGCTGGAACATGGCCTGTAACATGAACCCAACAGTTACCTCACCGCACAGTGATGACAGTGACGTGTAGTGAAGTGAAGGTCACGTGATCACGCCGCTGATTCGCTGCCACTCACCTTGTTCTGCAGACGTCACCATGGTGTTGTAGTGCTGGTTGGCCTTGTTGTAGTTGGACTCGACCTGCATACGGTCCTCGGCCCCGAACATCTGCGAGTCCTGGCTGTCCCTGAGGAAGTCCTGGTAGTGCTGCTCCAGGTTCCTGAGGGCCAGACGGTACTCCTCCACCCTGAGGGTCTTGAACTGAGGAGGAGAGCGGTGTTAGATGTTTTATGTTGAATCTAATCTCAGGTCCAAACTGATGTAGTTGTCTGAGTGTGTTACCATGGAGATGTTCCATGTTTTGATGATGTGGATGTCCCTCATCAGGTACTGCCAGGACATCAGACTCTTCAGGTCCACGAACATGGTCTGCCACATCAGCTGCAGCTTCTGGAGGTTTCCATCCAGTCTGAGGACCAGAACATCAAGGTGAGGGTTAAAAAAAAAGAACTCACACAATTCTCCAGAGAACGTTGTTGTCTTTTCTTATGTGGTGTTTCATTGTTTTACCCAGCAACGCTGTTCACTGCGTCCTTATTGGTGGGTGGGACCAGGAAGCAGATGGACGGGACTGAAGCCTCGCTGCCGGTGTCGTTCAGCACCTGCCACTTGAAGGGGTTGGAGTTGTTGAGCAGAGCACATTCGTCTCCTCTGTGGACAGTGATCTGTAGAAGGACGTCACAAACATCTGTGTTTAACGGTAAAAACAATAAATCCTACAAACTACGACCAAAGAGTTCTGCATCTTCATCACAAACTTTAAAGATGTTCAACATTCTCACCTCCATCTGTTTGAAGTCACAAACTGCCTGGATGGGCATTTTGCCCTTCAGTGGGGTGGTAGGGTTGCGTGGCTTCAGCTGGATGACGGTCTTTGCTCGTCTCTTCAGAGCTTCGAGGTTGGTCTTAAACTCAGCCAGCTGCTCCTTCTCATCCTGGGGAGAAAACAGAAACAAATCACTAAAAGACAGAAGTTAAACACGAGTCCAGCTACGCTGTAAATTAGCCATAAATCACAGAAATGCTAAGATGAAATTGACTAAAATATTACTAATGGTTAGCAAAGATTAGCTAAAGATTAGTCAAGATGCTAAGAGCCTAAAGAAGCTCAAACCATGACACAGTTAGCATGGAAATATCAAACATTACTAAAAATATTAAACACCTGCTGATAGAATAAGCTAACCTAACTTAACGTAAGCCAATTAGCCACATTGGAAGTAGAAGATAAATTCTTCAGAACACTGAAGGTTCATGGAGAGACGGTCCAACTCACAGCAGCGTCCTGCAGCAGGTCTTCCAGCCTGGTGACGGTGATGGAGCGGTCACACGTGTACTTCCTCTTCATGGTGTCCTGCATCTTCTTCAGCTTCTCCTCCGCCTCCTTCACATCCGTGAAAAACTGGACAAACAATGGCAGAAAAAAAAGGAGAATTCAAGGCTGCAGGTCTGTTTTTAAATCCCAGTTTGAGAAGAAGTTGATGATGAAATGAACACTGACCTGGAAATGTGCTGTGTTCTCCTTCAGGTGGGTTTCAATGCAGCAGCACAGCTGCAGGAGCCAGCTCCACTGAGTCTGCAGAGCTGCAGTGAAGGCCTGAGGACGGAACCCAGAGGAACACAGTCATCAGAACGTCATCATCGTTCCTTTAGTTTTCATCTTATAAAGTCAGATGACGTGTGTCGGCTCCTACCTCGATGGTCTTCCTGGCTGGATGTCCGTCCCTCAGCAGTTTATCTCCTGTGGTCTGGACAGCGTTCACCTTCTTCTCCCTGAGCTCCAACTCCCTCATCAAACCCTGGTCACAACAACCACAGCACCACACAGTGGTCAGACTCAGTACTGGAACCAGCATCAAAACTCCAGACTCCGTCTCTGTACCGAGTAGTTGTCTTCCTCCAGACTCTGCTCCGTCTCTGTACCGAGTAGTTGTCTTTCTTGGCCGTCATGTTGGTGTTCTTGTCGCTCCAGTCGTAGTTCACCTCCTCCTCCTCCTTCTCGTTCAGCCACATCAGCTCCTTGGTTGCTGCCACAACAAAGGCGTGGAGCTGGTCCAGGTAACGGAGACGGGCCTTCGAGGAGGTCTGTACGGACACAGTACATGTGTGTAAATATACACGTTTGTACACATGTTTTACAGAGTTACAAAAAGAATCATGATTGACCAAAACTAAAAAAAATGTTCTTTTCTTTTCCAGACTCACCAGCAGTTTTCCGTACTGCAGCTCCAGTTTTCCCAGATAGTCTCTGTAGGCAGCTTTGCTGGCTGGAGAAACTTGACTCTGAGGAGAGGTCAGGAGAGGTCAAGGGTCAGGAAGAGGTTGTTTTCTCACCTTGTTATCATCAGTTATAAATGACCTAATTGTCGTTGTTTTGTCATTACATTACCACCCTATGCCTGGCGCTATTTTATCACTTTATTATTCAAAAATATTCTTAGAATTGCTCTTACTTTTTGTTATTTAATAATCAGTTTCATTTTTACTTTCTGCTTCTAAACTTTTCGTTCTGTTTGTGTTTGTTTGAAATCTGTAGAAAAGTCTGTTTCAGTTCCCACCTCATCAGCCTTCGCCCTCTCGATCTTGGACCTGAACTCTTCCACGCACTGGTGCAGCCCACGGTGGCTGCCCAGCAGGGACTCCACGGTGGGCAGGTCTGAGCCCCACTCCCCTTCGTCCACCCTGCGCTGGTTCTCCTCCACCCAGCCCAGCAGGTCTTGGGTGTAGCGGAGAGTGACTTCATCCAGTTCTGGCCTCACCCTCACTGGCGCCTGCTGGAGGACCTGGGCGGCGTGGACCTGGGTCATTGGCATCTGGGCCATGGGGACCTGGGTGATGGTGACGCCCGACTTGAGGCGCAGGTTGTACTCACTGCGCAGGTTCACCAGTCGCTCATGGAGGCGATACACTCTGGAATCAGAGAGATGAGAAGACTTTTAGTTCTGAAATGACTGACTGCAATCTCTTGTAATGCCACTAGAGGGAGCCAGAATTTTCCTTGTCACTCCAAACTCTATCACATTCTTTACAATTTAAGGTGATTTTTTTTTAAACTTTAAATATCAACATGTTTAAATACAAATGTTAATCATTCAACCGTTGCTGTTTAGAGCCATTTTAAAACCTGTGATTGATTTAACTTTGTTTTTAAACATGAAGAACAGTGACATCTTGTGGCTCAATGTGTGAAGTGCAACCAAAACAAATAATAGCGACAAACTAAATATTGAAATATTAAAAAGTTAATATTGATAGGTTGCCACAAAGTCACTTTGACTCTGTATATGTTTTAAATTATGTGAATTATTTTGGAATTATTTATTCATAACACTTTACGTTTGTCTTGATTTATATCACCAGCACCTGCGATACATCTGCTCAGCCTGGAGATGGCGTCCGTCTTTGAGCAGCTGAACATCGTTGAAGAGGAGGCGAATCATTCCTTCTGCTTTCTCCAGGTCAGCCTCCATCTCTGCTGCGTGCTGAGCCGGTTTCCCCGAGCTCATCATCCTGGCGTCCTGCAGCAGCAGAAACATCTCAACATTTCAGTCAAAGTTTAAAAAAGAACCCAAAACACTCACTGTCTTCTCCCTGGTACAGATCAGAAGATCGGACCCGAGGCCTGGTTCTCACCGACTGCAGCAGGGTCTCCACCTGGTTCAGCTGTTCCTCACAAACTCCTGACTCCATCTGGACCTTACTCACGATCCTCTGGAGTCGCTCCAACCTGCAGCCAGAGAAGGTGAGGAAAGTTTACATCTTACAACGACAAAAAGCAAAGATATCTAACGGTCAGACACCTGTCTGAGAACTTTCTAAGTTACTCGTACAAACAAAATCTGAAATTTTCTGCAGGTCAGAAATAATAACAAAACAAAAACTCACTCAGCTTTGCTGCGAAATAAATATTTATAATCATATCCCTGGTTCATGAACGCCATGTCTGAGCTTTGTCTGAAATTAAACCTCCTGCAGAACTCCCTCTCATGGTTGTTGCTGCAGCCACGCCCTAAACTCTCCACCAATAAAATCTCCCATAAAAGCATAAAAAAACACCGTTGTGTTATTTTATGTTGCTGTGGAAATAAAACAACCACGAGTAGTGTTCCGCCGTTCGAGTTAAATGTTCCACTTTCATCACACTAACGACGTGGTCATCAGGATGTGAGTCACCGTCACTGGCTCATGATCAGACTTTCTTTTCTCTTTTTAACATTTTCTCTGTTTTTTTTCTGTTGAATCTCAAAAGAGAGCATTACAATTAGAATAAAACCAATAAAAGATGACTGACAGTTAGCAAAACTACAGAAAATAAGGATGGAAAAACTGCAACAATATTATATTATTTCATCGTGGTCAGATGGTGAAAAATGATCTCATCAAAAAAAATGTTGGTGGAAATTATTTTTCAAAATGTTATGTTTTCTGCATGTTTCTAATCAAATTAGAGCATTTTAGATTTTTATTTAGAAAAATTAATTAGCAAAAGACTGAAAAAAAAAATTAACCACCAATAAAAAAAAAATGTTTTAGTTTAACCCACTAGCTGCAGTGTAAGTTAGCAACATGCTGTAGTGGAACAGAGCAGTAACAACGACTTGTACAAAGATAAAGTACTGCAACCAAAGTAGCTAAGAATTTAGGACAACAATAGATTCAAATGTTCTCTTCGACTGACCTTTCAAACTCTGTCCTCAGGAGGCGCTCTCTCTCCAGGATGGCCACATGGAGGCGACCCCATTCTTTCTCTACGTCAAAGGGATGGTAACCTGGGGGCACTTTGACATGACCTGCCTGAACTGCACCCTGTAACAAACACCAAGTATAACTATGATTACAATTGGACACATTTGTTTGATTTATTTATTTGTTTTTGCTGAAGTCAATTATTTACTGTTTTCGCCTGTGTTTTATTTAACACATTTGGATATTTTAATGTGTCTCTGTCCCCTCTGCTGCTCTGTACTCTGAATGTTAATAAATGTTGGTTTGTTTTCATCTCAGTCCTGAGTCACTGATTTTTCTGTTGTTTATCTTCTTTCGAAAAAAAATTCAAAATGACAATTTTTTTTTCTAGAATCTTTTCTAGAATTCGGCACTACAAAAAGTGTTTTCTAGAAAAAAAAAAGTAAGGCATGTTTTGAGTGATTTTTCAAATATTCATAAAAAATACTTTTTGGAGTTTTAAACACAAAATATTCACCTGGCAGCATGTTTTAGGACCTAATCTTGCATTTTAAGGCATTTCGGGGACTTTTTATTTTTATGGATATTTTCACGATGGTAAGGCTATAGTAAGGCATGTTTTGGGTGATTTTTCAAATATTCAAATAAAATACTTTTTGGAGTTTTAAACACAAAATATTCACCTGGCAGCATGTTTTAGGACCTAATCTTGCATTTTAAGGCATTTCGGGGACTTTTTATTTTTATCGATATTTTCACGATGGTAAGGCTATAGTAAGGCATGTTTTGGGTGATTTTTCAAATATTCAAATAAAATATTTTTTGGAGTTTTAAACACAAAATATTCACCTGGCAGCATGTTTTAGGACATAATCTTGCATTTTAAGGCATTTCGGGGACTTTTTATTTTTATCGATATTTTCACGATGGTAAGGCTATAGTAAGGCATGTTTTGGGTGATTTTTCAAATATTCAAATAAAATATTTTTTGGAGTTTTAAACACAAAATATTCACCTGGCAGCATGTTTTAGGACCTAATCTTGCATTTTAAGGCATTTCGGGGACTTTTTATTTTTATCGATATTTTCACGATGGTAAGGCTATAGTAAGGCATGTTTTGGGTGATTTTTCAAATATTCAAATAAAATATTTTTTGGAGTTTTAAACACAAAATATTCACCTGGCAGCATGTTTTAGGACCTAATCTTGCATTTTAAGGCATTTCGGGGACTTTTTATTTTTATCGATATTTTCACGATGGTAAGGCTATAGTAAGGCATGTTTTGGGTGATTTTTCAAATATTCAAATAAAATATTTTTTGGAGTTTTAAACACAAAATATTCACCTGGCAGCATGTTTTAGGACCTAATCTTGCATTTTAAGGCATTTCGGGGACTTTTTATTTTTATCGATATTTTCACGATGGTAAGGCTATAGTAAGGCATGTTTTGGGTGATTTTTCAAATATTCAAATAAAATATTTTTTGGAGTTTTAAACACAAAATATTCACCTGGCAGCATGTTTTAGGACCTAATCTTGCATTTTAAGGCATTTCGGGGACTTTTTATTTTTATCGATATTTTCACGATGGTAAGGCTATAGTAAGGCATGTTTTGGGTGATTTTTCAAATATTCAAATAAAATATTTTTTGGAGTTTTAAACACAAAATATTCACCTGGCAGCATGTTTTAGGACCTAATCTTGCATTTTAAGGCATTTCGGGGACTTTTTATTTTTATCGATATTTTCACGATGGTAAGGCTATAGTAAGGCATGTTTTGGGTGATTTTTCAAATATTCAAATAAAATATTTTTTGGAGTTTTAAACACAAAATATTCACCTGGCAGCATGTTTTAGGACCTAATCTTGCATTTTAAGGCATTTCGGGGACTTTTTATTTTTATCGATATTTTCACGATGGTAAGGCTATAGTAAGGCATGTTTTGGGTGATTTTTCAAATATTCAAATAAAATATTTTTTGGAGTTTTAAACACAAAATATTCACCTGGCAGCATGTTTTAGGACCTAATCTTGCATTTTAAGGCATTTCGGGGACTTTTTATTTTTATCGATATTTTCACGATGGTAAGGCTATAGTAAGGCATGTTTTGGGTGATTTTTCAAATATTCAAATAAAATATTTTTTGGAGTTTTAAACACAAAATATTCACCTGGCAGCATGTTTTAGGACCTAATCTTGCATTTTAAGGCATTTCGGGGACTTTTTATTTTTATCGATATTTTCACGATGGTAAGGCTATAGTAAGGCATGTTTTGGGTGATTTTTCAAATATTCAAATAAAATATTTTTTGGAGTTTTAAACACAAAATATTCACCTGGCAGCATGTTTTAGGACCTAATCTTGCATTTTAAGGCATTTCGGGGACTTTTTATTTTTATCGATATTTTCACGATGGTAAGGCTATAGTAAGGCATGTTTTGGGTGATTTTTCAAATATTCAAATAAAATATTTTTTGGAGTTTTAAACACAAAATATTCACCTGGCAGCATGTTTTAGGACCTAATCTTGCATTTTAAGGCATTTCGGGGACTTTTTATTTTTATCGATATTTTCACGATGGTAAGGCTATAGTAAGGCATGTTTTGGGTGATTTTTCAAATATTCAAATAAAATATTTTTTGGAGTTTTAAACACAAAATATTCACCTGGCAGCATGTTTTAGGACCTAATCTTGCATTTTAAGGCATTTCGGGGACTTTTTATTTTTATCGATATTTTCACGATGGTAAGGCTATAGTAAGGCATGTTTTGGGTGATTTTTCAAATATTCAAATAAAATATTTTTTGGAGTTTTAAACACAAAATATTCACCTGGCAGCATGTTTTAGGACCTAATCTTGCATTTTAAGGCATTTCGGGGACTTTTTATTTTTATCGATATTTTCACGATGGTAAGGCTATAGTAAGGCATGTTTTGGGTGATTTTTCAAATATTCAAATAAAATATTTTTTGGAGTTTTAAACACAAAATATTCACCTGGCAGCATGTTTTAGGACCTAATCTTGCATTTTAAGGCATTTCGGGGACTTTTTATTTTTATCGATATTTTCACGATGGTAAGGCTATAGTAAGGCATGTTTTGGGTGATTTTTCAAATATTCAAATAAAATATTTTTTGGAGTTTTAAACACAAAATATTCACCTGGCAGCATGTTTTAGGACCTAATCTTGCATTTTAAGGCATTTCGGGGACTTTTTATTTTTATCGATATTTTCACGATGGTAAGGCTATAGTAAGGCATGTTTTGGGTGATTTTTCAAATATTCAAATAAAATATTTTTTGGAGTTTTAAACACAAAATATTCACCTGGCAGCATGTTTTAGGACCTAATCTTGCATTTTAAGGCATTTCGGGGACTTTTTATTTTTATCGATATTTTCACGATGGTAAGGCTATAGTAAGGCATGTTTTGGGTGATTTTTCAAATATTCAAATAAAATATTTTTTGGAGTTTTAAACACAAAATATTCACCTGGCAGCATGTTTTAGGACCTAATCTTGCATTTTAAGGCATTTCGGGGACTTTTTATTTTTATCGATATTTTCACGATGGTAAGGCTATAGTAAGGCATGTTTTGGGTGATTTTTCAAATATTCAAATAAAATATTTTTTGGAGTTTTAAACACAAAATATTCACCTGGCAGCATGTTTTAGGACCTAATCTTGCATTTTAAGGCATTTCGGGGACTTTTTATTTTTATCGATATTTTCACGATGGTAAGGCTATAGTAAGGCATGTTTTGGGTGATTTTTCAAATATTCAAATAAAATATTTTTTGGAGTTTTAAACACAAAATATTCACCTGGCAGCATGTTTTAGGACCTAATCTTGCATTTTAAGGCATTTCGGGGACTTTTTATTTTTATCGATATTTTCACGATGGTAAGGCTATAGTAAGGCATGTTTTGGGTGATTTTTCAAATATTCAAATAAAATATTTTTTGGAGTTTTAAACACAAAATATTCACCTGGCAGCATGTTTTAGGACCTAATCTTGCATTTTAAGGCATTTCGGGGACTTTTTATTTTTATCGATATTTTCACGATGGTAAGGCTATAGTAAGGCATGTTTTGGGTGATTTTTCAAATATTCAAATAAAATATTTTTTGGAGTTTTAAACACAAAATATTCACCTGGCAGCATGTTTTAGGACCTAATCTTGCATTTTAAGGCATTTCGGGGACTTTTTATTTTTATCGATATTTTCACGATGGTAAGGCTATAGTAAGGCATGTTTTGGGTGATTTTTCAAATATTCAAATAAAATATTTTTTGGAGTTTTAAACACAAAATATTCACCTGGCAGCATGTTTTAGGACCTAATCTTGCATTTTAAGGCATTTCGGGGACTTTTTATTTTTATCGATATTTTCACGATGGTAAGGCTATAGTAAGGCATGTTTTGGGTGATTTTTCAAATATTCAAATAAAATATTTTTTGGAGTTTTAAACACAAAATATTCACCTGGCAGCATGTTTTAGGACCTAATCTTGCATTTTAAGGCATTTCGGGGACTTTTTATTTTTATCGATATTTTCACGATGGTAAGGCTATAGTAAGGCATGTTTTGGGTGATTTTTCAAATATTCAAATAAAATATTTTTTGGAGTTTTAAACACAAAATATTCACCTGGCAGCATGTTTTAGGACCTAATCTTGCATTTTAAGGCATTTCGGGGACTTTTTATTTTTATCGATATTTTCACGATGGTAAGGCTATAGTAAGGCATGTTTTGGGTGATTTTTCAAATATTCAAATAAAATATTTTTTGGAGTTTTAAACACAAAATATTCACCTGGCAGCATGTTTTAGGACCTAATCTTGCATTTTAAGGCATTTCGGGGACTTTTTATTTTTATCGATATTTTCACGATGGTAAGGCTATAGTAAGGCATGTTTTGGGTGATTTTTCAAATATTCAAATAAAATATTTTTTGGAGTTTTAAACACAAAATATTCACCTGGCAGCATGTTTTAGGACCTAATCTTGCATTTTAAGGCATTTCGGGGACTTTTTATTTTTATCGATATTTTCACGATGGTAAGGCTATAGTAAGGCATGTTTTGGGTGATTTTTCAAATATTCAAATAAAATATTTTTTGGAGTTT